CCCCCCGGCCGGGAACTCACCCAGGTCCACTGCAGGGAGGGAGGCTTCGTGCCGGCCTTGGTGCACTCCTGCAGCCCCGAGGCGTCGCTCCACATGTAGCGGTCGGTGGGCAGACCCCTGCAGCAGGACAAGGGGCGTGTGTGACTCGAGAGGCAAGAAGGGCCTGTCCTGCCCAGGCACTGGCAGTCACACACACACACGCTGGGACCACTGCACCTCTGAAGGGGTGAACTGCCCCAAGTCTGGGACAACTGGGGAGACCCCACATCACGTGGGGGCCTGGACCACAATCCACAGAGGGCTGCGGCCACTGGGAGGGCTGGAAGCCACCTCTCTATCTACACGTCTCTATGTACCAACCTAGCTCTGTGTTTAGAGAGTGATCTACATCTCGTTGCATGTACATTTATGCTTTGTGCATGTCATGTGTTACGACTCTCAATAAGTGAGTTTTCAAAATATGCATTGTACTTAGAAATTCAAGAAGAGAAGCCTCTGTGAGAAGTGAGATTCAGCGAGGCCACGTCGGGCCCGGACGCCAGCTCTCACTCTGCATGACGACATTGCCCGTGACTGTCCTGTTCTGTCAGGACTGTGGCCTGGGCCAGGCCACACCTGGAAGCCTCCGCAGCCGCTGGGTGTGGCACCCACGCGTGCTCACCTGCTGGTGTAGCCTGTGACGGGGTTCCAGCGCTGGTTCTCATAGATGTAGACGCACCTCACGTCCGACTGTGGGTAGATGTTCCCGGTGCTGCTGGCCAGGCCTGGGGGGAGCAGGCTGTCAGCACCCAGCTGCACCTGCCCGCTGGACTCGGGCTTCTGTCTGAAGCACCAAAGGCCCCAGAGGCTGGGCAGGGAGGCCAGGCTGGAGAGGGTCAGCCAACGGGCTCACAGGCCAGCTGAATTTATCTCGCAGGGGCCGGCGGGCTGCAGTTTCTCTGACTATTCTGGGTTTGCAAAACCTTGACGAGAACCCGCTACGCACCAAGCCTCCCATCCACACCCACTCCAGCTCCTCCATCTCACACTCTGTTCTGGGGGCACCTGCTCCCCCCTTGCCATCCCACTTACCTGGACCCAGAGGGAGTGAGGCCCAGCCAGCTCACTCCTTATTAACACTCAATAACCTCCACGATCCCCAATGTCCTCATTTGTGAAATGGGGACAAAGGTACTCCCTGCCTCAGCAATGTGGAAGCAGTTAAACCTGTGCAAGGTGTGGTCTCAGTGGGCCACAGTTCTACAGCATTAGCCACCCCCAGAGCGGGGCATGTGGCATACAATGTCCCTTCTCAGTATTTGTTTCTGCCTCCATTTCCTAGAGACAAGAGGACACTGCCTCCCAGAACTGGGCGAGCACACAGGGCTCTCATCCTGAGGCACAACCCACCTAAGGAGGAGCTAGAATCTGGGCCTGGAAATCAGGAGACCCAGGTCCTGGGCTGTCCCCATGTGCCCTGAGGCTTGTCTGTGAAAGGAAAGCTTGGACATGGTGGAGGCCTGGGTTGCCACCTTTCTAGAACCTTCGAGACCGGGAAAGCACATCAGAGGTGAGACCTGGTCTTTGGGCGCTCACACCTCACGGGTTGGCCCCAGGACCGTCCTCGGCAGAGGCTGGCAGTGCTGAAGGTCACCTGTCAGCCAGCTGCCAACTGAGTGTCAACACTGGGACCCTGGCTCCGGTGTGGAGCAGGGGAGGGGGAGGGATTAGCAGGGACTGCCAGGAAGGCTGTGGCAGGGCAAGGAGCTGGCACTGGCAGCCTTGGGGCACGGGCCACCCTCACCTTGGAAGCAGCCTCCGCCATAGCCACCTGTGTACACCCAGGCTGTGCCGTTGTAGCCGATGCCCCACACCACGCCCTGGCCGCTGGCCTCCACCACCCGCAGGTGGCCTCCCATCTGCCGCCAGAACCTGGGAGGAGGGGAAAGGGTTGGGAGAAGCAATCTCAGCAGGGCCTCCCAGTCGTCTCCCCCCGCAGCTAGCATGTCACCGTCACAGCAGGGAACAGGGTCATCTCATCTGCTGGATGAGCCACCAGCCAGTGACAGTGAGGCCCTCTGGGCGGGTGGAGTGCTGGGTGCACCTGCCACCTCGGTCAACTTCCTATAGTCAAGGCCCTGCTACTGTCACCAGAGGGGGTCTTTTAACTGAGAGTGGATGAACCAAGGGCAGAGAGACCCAGCCACTGTCCCTTCTTGGGCAGGACCTCTTGGTCTCACATATGTCTCCCTGGTCCTCCCTGGTCTGGGTGACCTTCTGAGGGCAGAATCTGGAGCACCACATCCCCACCAAAATGATGGATGCCCCAGGTCTCTGTCTACACCGCCCCCAGTGGGTAGCCTCATTCCATCTCCTGGTTTTAAATGCCACCTACAAGAACCATGCCCCTCACCCGGATACACAGCAGTTGTTCAGCTGGGTGACCCACCCCGATGTCCCTCTTGGGGTCTCCACACAGACCCAGGAAGACTCAGGGCCTGGGAACCAGCCGGCTGTGGCTGGCGGGCAGGAAGCGAGGCCCTATGTGATCCCCCGAGGGTGAGGGTGGGGACCCTTCCTTGTGGAACCACAGCTCTGGCTGCTGGGACGGGCGTGGCCAGGCTGCCGCTGGGCCTGGAGCACAGTGGACTCACATCTGGTCACAGGGCAGCTGGTGCTCAGGGGCCTCCAGGTCCGGGCTGGGCTCACTCACGAAGATGTCTCCCTTGCAGGTGACGGACCAGATGGCCTGCAGGGAGGGGCGGCCGAGGACCCTCCGGCTCTCACAGCAGGACAGGTTGAGCAGGGCCAGCTGGCGTGGGCAAGCAGCCGGTCACTGGGACAGGGACAGGCAGCGGGCCAAGGCTGGGCTGCCCCTGGTCTGCTGCCCCTTGACCCTGGCCTGTGGGGACCACCACCCACTTACCCAGTCGTTCATGTCCTGCTCGGTGGCGGCGGCCAGACGCACTGGCCACCTCTGCCGAGTCCTCTCGGGGGTGTACAGGGCAAAGGAGTGCTTGGCCTCGTTGAGCACGGGGACCAGGGTTGTCACCTCATTGAGGAACACGTGCAGGTACTGTGACAGAAGGCGGATGGCAAGGCTGTCAGCGGGGAGGGACAGGGACGGCCTGGGTTACCCCTCATTCCAGAGACGGTCCTTGGGGCCCTGGCCTGCAGGTCTTAGTGGTGGCTCAGGAAGTCCCAGCGGGAAGCCTAGCTCAGGGGCAAATGCAGGGCTGCTTCTTTCCTGACGACCAGGGCACTTGAGACTCAGACTGACGGGGTCAGACCCCAGCCGTGGGGGGTGAGTGGCTTTAGCTGAGCCCGAATTCTCATGAAACACAGGAGCCTGTCAGTGCTCAGACCCAGGAGATGGCTCCATGGGCTGCCACACAGCTGCCCGCTGCTGATGGGGACTGTCTAGGGGCCAGGCGCAGTCCTGGGTGGAGCACGTTGGGGCAACTTCCCCGGCTGGCTCCTGCCCCCCTGTCCCCAGCACCTGCCCCCCAGCCTCCTCGCCCCCCACTGCACCTTCTTCTCCTCGAGGGCCACGTAGTAGATGAAGAGGATGCTGTCCCGAGCCCCGTCGTGCCCTGTGAACTGCTCCAGGGCCACGCGGACGTCCACCCACTTGTGGGGCTTCCAGTCGCACCACCACTGCAGGGCCCCTGTCTTCACCCACACCGACTGCAACACAGGCCCAGGGGCCACGGGACAGTCACAGGCAGGCCCTGGCCCCCAGACTGGGGCCCTGTAGGTACCCAGTTCCCAGCACCCCAGGGCCACCCTGGCCGCAGTCCCTTCACGGCGTCACAGGGGACTCCCACCCAGCACTCCCAGCTCCCCCACTTCACCCTAATGACCAGTGATGCTATCAGACACCCGACAGGGGCCAGGCATAACAGCCTGGGGGATGCACAGTTACCCCTTGTTCTGGTTGGGGAAACTGAGGCCTGGGGAGGTTCTGTTTCTGTGCCTGGACCAATGTCACAGAGGGAGTCAGCGGCAAAGCTGGGGCCCACACCTGCCCGCCTGTCTTGGAGACCTCACGCTGAGCCACCAGGAGATGCCTCTGCCACAAGCCCAGACACAGCTGCTCCTCTGAATGAACCTAGCCCAGTGCTTCCTGTACCTTCTACCTCCTACCTGACTGGACACGGCCTGAGGGGGTCTGAGACCACCCTCAACCCTGTCAGTTCTCAATAAAACACTGCACTGTCTTGGCACATGGGGATCCCTCCAGCAGGGAGAAGACTGCGCAATTCCCACCCCACCCTACCCCCTGCCTCCCGCTGAGGCTGCTGTGGTCTCTGGGTCCCAGGGCCGGCACTGTGCCTGCAACACAGTGGGGCCTGAGCAGAGGTCTTCAGGGTGGACGAATAAAGGAACAGACATGCCTTTTCATTCTGGAATCTGCAAGGACCCAGCCGGGACGGCTTCTCATCCGAGATGGATGGAGCCAGGGACGCACACATCCGTCTGTCTGTCTCTCCCACCTCACCTCGGGCTGGTACACTGCCCCCAAGGGAGGCCCGGCCGCCCACCTGCTCCACGGCCTGCTCGTAGTGCCGGAAGTTCTCCAGCTCCCGCTTGGTCCTCTCCGTCAGCTGCTGGAAGATCTGCTTCCGCCAGGTGGCAGTCTGCGCCGGCGTCATGGACAGGGACAGCGTGTGCGCAGAGGAGGACAGGCCTGCGGGCGGCGGGAGCCTCAGGGCCGGAGCCACCCTGCCCACAGCTGGGCAGCTGGCCAGGGTTTTTTTTTTTTTAAACCAGCCCTTTCTTGCTAGAAAGCTATGAGCTTTATAAAATGCCCACAAGCCCACCCCACAGGGTCCATCCTGGTGTCCCCCAGTTCAGCCTAAAATGGGCCCCAATGCTGGGACAGGGAAGGGGGGGCACTCGTCTCGGAGGCCAGACAGACCCATCGGAACACAGGGCAGCTGGCCTGCTCCCCTCCTCCAGGAGCACCCTCTTACCCGACTGGACGGTGAACCACTTGAGCACTGTGTGGGCCTCCACGGCGCAGCCTCCTCCTGATACCCCGGCCCACAGCGGGTGGTCCTCAGCGCAGTAGGGCTCCTCCAAGCCCAGTGGGAGCATCCCCAGTGGGGAGAGGCCAGCGGTCTCAGGAAAGCTGGGAGCAGACTGGCTAGGCGCCGCTTTCTTGGGCTCCTTCAGGTCAATACTGGTCCAGGGTAGCTCGGCTGGGCCATGGCGAGGCTCGGACCCAGGGGTCTGATCGGCCAGGCTGACACCCTCTGCAGCATGCTCTGTGGACTCCCTGGTGCCTGTGCCTGGGCCTGAGGCAGAGCCGCCCTTGGAGCTGCTGGGACTTTGAGGCGACTCTGCAGGGTCAGGCTGCTCAGGCCCTGGTCTCTCAGCATCCGAGGAGGCGTCCGTGTCGCTCGGTGCACAGGAATCACCACCGACCCTCACCTCATCGCCGAAGAAGCAGCCAGCACTGGGGACAAAGGGTGCAGAGCTGTGACTCCCCGGAAGGAGCAACACCTGCTACTGTCAGGAGGCCTGGATCACCAGCTCCACTGAGAATCTGTGTGACCCCTGACAAGTCACAGCCTCTCTGTGCAACACAGGGAGCTGGCACTTGGCACAATCCTGACACCCAGGCGGTACCCACACCAGGCAAATCAATGTACCTGGAGGTGGGGATCTGGCAGTAATACCACTTGTTTTTATTGTGGCAAAATACATATGATGTAAAGTTTACCATTCTAAGCCTACAGTGCAGTGGCGTTCAGTCTACTCATCGTGTGCAGCCATCACCACGACCTAGTTCCAGGGCCTTCTTGTCACCCCAGACGGAAACACTGCACCACTGAGTCACTCTCCAGTCTCCTCTTGCCCAGCTTCCTAGTGACCACTGACCTGTTTTCTGTCTCTATGGATTTGCCTGTTGTGGACACTGCACAGAAATGGCACCATACAACATGCGACCTCTCGGGACCGGCTTCTTTGACTTAGTGTAATGATGTCAAGGTTCACTCATGTTGTGGCAGGTGCCAATACTTCATTCCTTTTTTTTTTTTGGCAAATCCTCACCTGAGGGTATTTTTCCATTGATTTTTAGAGAAGGGGGGGGAAAGGGAGAAACGTCGATGTGAGAGAGACACACTGGTTGGTTGACTCCACAGCACGCCCTGACCAGAGCTGGGGATCGACCTGCTACCCAGGTATGTGCCCTAGACCGCGAATCAAACCCGAGACCCTTCAGTGCACGGGCCGAGGCGCTAACCACTGAGCCACCGGCCAGGGCAGGACGCCATTCCTTTTTATTGCTGAGTAAGATTCCATTGCACGACTAGACTCCATTTGCCTGATCCATTCTCCACCGGACAGCTGGCCTGTTTCCACCTTCGGGCGCTGTGAGGAGCGCTTCTGTCAACATTCGCGCAGTTTCTCGTCGGAGCACGTGTTCCGATTCCTGCAGGTGCGTATCCAGGAGGGAAACCGCTCGGTCACGTGCGCTCCATCTTTACCTTCTCGAGGAACTGCCGGACTGTTTCCCATGCTTCCATCCTGCTGGCAGTGTGCGGAGCTCCTTCTCCACATCTCAACACTTTCACTGTCTTTTTTATCATGACCCTTCTGGCGGTCACAGTGGTCCCTCACCTTGGCCTTGACTTGCATTACCCTAGTGACAACAAGCATCTTCTGTGCTCGCTGACCATTCACGTCTACTTTGGAGAAATGTCCATTCACGCATGTCCTCTGCCCTTTTTAAACTGGGTCGTGTATCTTTTTGTTGTCAAGCTGTGAGGTTTTTCCTTTTATGTCTTTATTGACTTGAGAGAGGAAGGGAGAGTGAGGGAGAGAGAGAGACATCCATGATGAGAGAGTCATTGATCAGCTGCCTCCTGCACAACCCCGACTGGGGATGGAGCCCGCAACCCGGGCATGTGCCCTGACTGGGAATCGAACCCCGATCGCCTGGATCCTAGGTTGATGCTCAACCGCTGAGCCATGCTGGCCGGGCAGGCTGTAAGAGTTCTTCACGTGTATTCTAGATACTGGGCCTGTGTCAAATACACGTATATGATCTGCAACTTGGACTGTCTTTTCACTCTCCTGAGAGTGTCCTTTGAGGCACCAACTTTTCCCTTTGAAGTCCAGTGTATCTTTTGTTTCCTGTGCCTTTGGTGTCGTGTTTGAGAAGCCACTGCCGACAGCGAGGTCAGGCAGGTTTTTGGCATCAGCAGTTGCAGAAGCTCCTCAGCTGATTCCAAGGTCTGCTCAGCATGAGAACAACCAGCTGCAGAGGATGCAGCTTCCAGTAATTGGGAGCAAGCCCTGCTCGCTGGCCGCCCGGCTCTGGTGGTGCAGCAGTGTGATGGCTACCAGGCTGGGGGAGCAAAGGTGCATGGACAAGGGCCTGGCAGGGCCCAGGCTGCACACAGGAACATGGTGGCTGCGGGGCACGGAGCCAAGGTCCCATGGGCCACACAGCTGGGCAGGTAAGCACTGTGGGCTGCTGTGGGGTGGAGGCGACTCCAGCTATTGCTAAGCCACCTGCCTGCTCCCTAACGGCCGGTGGGTAGAGCTGGGGCTCGTCCACACTCTCCAGATGAAAGGATATCAACGTGAGGTCCCCAGAAGTGCAGCAGCAGCACACCTGGGACCTCGCAGAAACACAAAGTCTCAGGGCCCCACATCTACCCAAACAGACGCTCCGGGGCGGGGCCTGGGAGACACTGAGGGAACAAGCGGCCCAGGGCACTCTGGGCGCCCGGCGTCTGACGTCCCAGCTCCAGAGGACACTGTCGTCCTCTTTCCTGAGCGTCCACCCTGCAGGGAGGTCTTTTCCCTCCTTGAGATGCCAGAACCAACAGGCCAGTCCTGCTCTGGGACAATCTGTGGCTCCAACAGGGACAGACAACCCAGCCTCGCTCACCTGTGGCCTCCCACCTCCCTCTCAGAAGGAACCCGGACGCCAGGCTCAGGCAGCGGGGAGGCCCCACAGGCCGCAGCTTCCCTGTGGAGAGGCTGCGCAGCAGCGTCCTCGGGCCACCCGACCGCCCCACGCCTTGCTGCCCGGGGTCACCTGAGGAGGCTCGAGGAGCTGCCCGAGTGTGACCGGTCGCACTCCCGGCTGGCGACGATGGCTTTCCACGTCTTCCCACTGAGCTCGCTCGGGGTGACACCCTGACGGAAGTACACGGCCCGGTCTTCCCAGCCAATGCCCCAGACCTGGAACGGAGAGGTGCCGCTGGGTGAGAAGCTGGTGCAGGCCTGGGGGCTCCTGTCCTTGGGGGTTGGGAGGATGGCATGGAGAGCACCCCAAGGCTGGAGGACACGTCTGTACATGCAGTGGGGTGTGCGCACTCGAGTATGTTGGGATGGAAGGTGGATGGCGTGGCCCTGGGGTGGGTGCAGAGATCAAACTCAGGAAGCGGAGGCCAGAGGACTTTGGGGGAGGGCACGGCACCAAGCTCAGGAGAAGCAGGGACCCGTCCTACTCCCGGACCTCAGGCAGACCTGGGGATTCGAGGCAACGGGCCAGAGGAGGTGGTGGTGCCAGTGGGCGCTGTGCTGGGACACAAAGCCCACCCATGTCCCCATCTTGTCTCTGCTGGGAAGGAAGCTGTTCCCGTGAACCTGGTCTTTTTCAGGAAGCAAAATAACCTCCTAGGTTCTGACCTCATTTTGCAGGAGGCTCCTCCCCTCTGCCTTTGGGTGCTAAGGAAGGCACACTGGGCAGCTGAAGGGACCAGGGGAGGGGGTCACCTTGAGCTCAGCCTTGGGGTGCCTGACGGGCCCCAGACCTAGCAGAGCTGTTGCCCCAGGAGGCCTTGCTGGGCCATGGCAGGCTGGCCTCTGCTCTGTCCCTGTGCACCTGCCGGGGCCTGTCTCACCCATGAACACTGTGCCACACAGCTCACTGGGGAGGGTGGCGGGAGGGCAAGTACCCGAGACGAGTTTCTAGCACAGTGCAACAGGTGGGCATGTCACCTTCACCTGCTGAGTCCTAAAAATTGCCAAACATCATTTACCCTTGAGAAGGTGGCTAGGCTGGGGGAACTACACGGTCACGTTTAAGAGACGCTGCATCTAGAAAGTTGGGAAGACCAGTTTTGACCTTCGCCTGGTGGTCTGATTTCCCCCAAGTATTTTTCTCAACACAACTCTCCCAGTCCCTGGGATGCATGTCCCTCCCCCAGATCCCTGCTCACCGCCAGTGTTCTCGGGGTCTGGGGGAATGACCCAAGACAGGCGGGGCTCTGGGACAAAGGCTGGGAGAGTGTGGAGGTGCTGGGACCCCCAGCCCATGGGGGCAGTATGAAGGGACGGGGAAGCACCAGGAGCCCCCATTCGGAGACCCACCCCCAAGAAGCAAGGCTCGGAACCACATGCACACCTGGTCATTGAGCCCCACGTTCACCATCATCATCTCTCCAACCATCTCGATCCAGCTGGTGCCACAGGGGTTATGCGAGTTGATGCCTCTGCGGAACCACACCTGGGAAAGTCAGAAATAAACGCCTCCCTGGAGTGCCACTGAAATAGGTGGGTGTTTATCATTTTTATTTTAATTAAAGCACAAGAAGAACAAATGAGTAATGGGATCCTCTGGTTCATGCCCCAGATGAGCACAACACATCTTTTAGGAAGGAAACCTTCACCCATGTGCCTCTTCCCCACACCCCAGCCATACATCCCTTTGGGCTGAGGGTCATCTGCCCCCAGCCACACTTGTCCTGGTGGCTTACTGTCCATTCTCTGGCTGAGGGCATTGTCCCTCCAGGAGACAAGGCTGCCTGAATCTTTCTAGAACCTTCTCCCCACTGGTTCAGACACTAGTGGCACTTGTTGGCAGCAGGCAGGCGTCGGCTGTTTCAGTGCAGTGAGAGCTGGGAGGTGGATGGCTCATGGGCAGTGGTGGCGGGAGGTGGGGATGAGGGAAGAGATGATACATACTGCATCTCAAATCCAAACTCCGACCTGTGAGCCTGACCAGTAACACCCCATCCTGTGGCCGGCCCTTTGTGCAAACCCCACTTTAGCTCACACATAATGAAATGTGTGTTTTAACACTGAGCAAACTGCTCATATTAATCTAATTTGCTGCTCACTTAATCTGTTGCTCTCAGGGTGGAGTGCTTAGCGGCTGAGGGGGACAGTCGTTCTGTATTTTCCTAGGTGGGAGTGTATGTGGCCTGAGGCTTGGGGGCTTCAGCCCTGTAGATGGATTCGATGTGTGGGTGACCTGTCCCCCTGGGTGTTAGGGGATGCCCTTGATATGGTGGTTTTAGAAAGAGAACTTGTAAGCAACCTGAAATCAGCATATTTTATTAGCCTTGCCTCTGATAAAATAGAAATGACAAGCACTGCCCAGCCACTGTGGATCAATGGTTGAGCATCGAACCATGAGCCAAGAGATCACAGTTTGATTACCAGTCAGGGCACACACCCAGGTTGCGGGCTCAATCCCCAGTGGGGGGCGTGCGGGAGGCAGCCGATCAATGACTCTCTCATTACTGATGTTTCTATCTATCTCTCTCTCTCAAGTCAATAAGCATTTTTAAAAAAATGATAAGCACTGGACGACAGGAGCAAGGGGAGCCAATCAATGAACCAAGGGTTTGAGAAAATCAGCTCCTGATTTGTTGAAATGTTACGTCCTATGAATGATCAATGTAGCTGTTCTGCTCTTGGTCTGGGGCATGGACCAGGGGGGATTCTGCAGGCACTGGACATCTCAGATGCGACAGACACTGCAAGGTGCTCGGCTGATTTGTTCTTAAGGGTTGACCAAAAGAACCACCCACACCACCCTCAATGTGAAACAGAGCCCTGGACCCAGCCTCCCTGCAACCGAATCTTACTTTGTGGTCCTTGGTGACAGCCCAGACCACGCCCACTCCCACGGACACGTGCATGATCCCGTTTTCAGGGGTGGGAGGCTCCACTAGGCACCAGGAACTTCCTACTCGGCCCCAGAAGAAAGCACGGAGTTAGCACGCCCGGGTGAAGCTGGGCGCCCCGTCTCTCCCAGTTCAGGGCGTAGGGCTCCCACCTTTGGGGCTGTTCCTGTTGATTCCTTCCCGAACCAAGGCCTGCCCCTCCCAGAGCGTGGCCCACAGGAGGTCGTGGGGCCCGCAGCTGATCTGGACCACCTCCCCGGGGGTGTCCACGTGGGACCACGATGAACCTTCGGGGTTGAGGTGGCTGACGTCGTCTCTGTACCACACCTGCGAGGCGAGAGAAACCCACAGGAAGGGTCTAGGGTGGTCAGGCCAGGATCCAAGAAGGAACCAGACACCGAAGCTTGGCTGCATTTGCATCAGCACGTGCACAGGCCAAGCGCGGGTGGAGTCCTGGGAGACCAGGGACCAGGGTGCCCTGACTGTCCAGCCCCAACTGCCTTTGGGATCCTCCTGCCAGATGAGATGACCCCTAACTGCTGCTAAGAAATGGAGCAGCTGGATTTCCATTGCTCCAGTGGCCAGACCTGCTCCCCACATGTGCTCTGACACCCTCCCCCCTCCCTCCCTCAGGTGCCCTGGGCGTCCCGCGCGCCCTAGTGGTGACAGGCTCTCAAAACACCTGTCTCTAGGGGAAGCTGACCAAGTGATTAACTGGGAAAACACCCAACCAATGCCCACCACAGGAATGTCTAAAATACCCACTGTTTTCTCTATAACCTGAAGACGGTGACATAATCAAGTATTTAAGACTGAGCCACCTGTTCATATCGCCTGCACTGGCTCATTTCACCTGGAGAGAGCTGGGGACCACGGCCTCCCAACCCTGTCACCTCACCCCTACAGCCCACACTGCAGAACCAGGCCTGGGCAACCTTCCTTCTGCTACCTGCTGGTTTGGGGGCCCATCTGTCTACCTAGCTCCCCCTGGAGCCCAGGGTCCTGGTCACATCTTTTAGGGACCACAGGACTGGTGCAGGGCAGTGCTGGTTCACAAGCAGTACTCGGTCACCGCAAACACTGCTCTTGAGCCCCTCCTCTGCCTTCTCTTTGCTTCCAGGTGGGCGCGGCCCCTCGTGGGGGTCTCTGTCCCAGGCCAGCTCCCCACCATCCTGCAGCGTGGCTCAGGAAAACTGTGGTTGACCTAAGCCAGGGCCAAACAGGACCCCAAGCCTGCCGTGACTGCTCAAAAGCCAACCAGAGGATTTCGGTCAATTTGTGGTAAGGAGTATGGGACAGTCACAAAATACGCTCTCAACCACGACTAAGTGCTGGATCCCGCACTCAGGACTGTCTCTGTCACTGCTGCAGTCAAGGGCGGCTTCATTCCTTCGTTTAGTTTACAAACTCCCTGAGAGAAGGATCTCTCCTCTCCAAACCTCCACATATCCGCCTATCCATCCACCTACCTATCCATCTCTAC